ACACACACACACACACACACACACACACACACACACACACACACACAATGCCTGCCCAGCATCTAGCCTGTTCAGCGAGGAAGAAAACCCCCACAGAGTGAGAGCAATGGAAGCCAGAAGATGGGGTCCCAGCCACGGCCTTGCCTCAGAGGGACTTTGATAGGAAGCCAGGTTAGGTCTGGGTTCCAACTGCTAGCCACAAAGCCTACATCAGGTACCCCCTCTCACTCACTCCAGTCTCCTCGTGGGTAAAGTGTGAGGAGCCCCTGCCTCCCAGGAGGTTGCCGTGAGTAGGCCAGCCACAGACCGTCAAACACTGTGTGCTCCTCGTCCTTTAGCTACTCGCTCTAGATCACAACAATGTGTCCTCCCTAGAAGGCAGCACAACAGGCCTGGCAGAGTTACAAGGGCGGTGGCACAGAGCTGCCATTCCCCAGGAGCTAACGGGTGAGGCCCAGGAGTCACCCCTTACTGTTTGTCTTGCGCTCTTCGTTCTCTTTCCACTCCTCAAGCTCAGACCACAGCTGCTGCAGCCGCCTCTGGTTTGAGCACTCCAAGACGTCAATGATATTCTACAGAAGGGGTGAGGTCAGCTCAGCCCCAGCCTCCAAAGGCTCTTCAGCTCACAGTGGGCAGGAGCCACTGAGTGCTTCCCCAGCCCCACTCCCAGGCCCAGCAACCCGACGCTTTCCATGCATTCCTCAATGAACTGCTTCCCATGGCTGAAGAGACCCTCCACACCTGGCCAGGGACAAACTCATCTTTCCCGTATCCCTCACTCGCACCCGGCTGTCCAGCCATCCACAGCAACTGCATCTCCCTATGTTCCATTTGCTCCCTCTCGCCCGTGTCTGTTTCCTCTGCCTATAATACCTCCACTAGTTCGCACTTCTGCAGACTTCAGCTCAAGTATGGCTTTCCCCCAGGAAGTTTTCCTGATGCTCCGATCCCTGAGTCAGAGGTCCCCTTGGAGATCCTCAAATCTCGCCTCCAGCATGGGACATGCCCAATGCTAACTGCAACCTCCTGTGACCCCATTAAAGGGGAGGCTTCTCATACTGCAACCAAGGCCCATAGGTGTACCCAGGATGGTTCAAAACTGCCCAGGGGCTAGAGGGATGGCTCGGTTGGCTTCAGTCCCCAGGACCCATGGTACAAAGCCAGGAGTGATGCTGTGGGTTTATAATCCAGTTGTGGGGATGTAGAGACAGGTGGATCCCTGAGGCATGCCAGCCAGCCTTGCCCGATACACAAGCCTCGGGTTCCAGGGAGAGACCCTGTGTCAATAGAACAGGTCCTGATGAACACCACCACCTAAAGGCTTCCACATGCAAGGGTGTGTCTGTGTGTGTGTGTGTGTGTGTGTGTGTGTGTGTGTGTGTGTGTACAAGAAGTTTCCTTGGGCTGAAGAACTATGTGGCTTTGATCTCTGTTAAAACTGGACTGTGAGCCATGCATGATGGCGCTCGCCTTTACTCCCAGCACTTAGGGAGGCAGAGGAAGGTGGAACATTGTGAGTTCGAGGCCGGCCTGGTTTACAAAGTGAGTCCAGGACAGCCAAGGCTACACAAAGAAACCCTGTCTTGGAAAAATAAATAGTAAATAAATAAATGGATAGATGGACTGTATCCATCAAAGCTTCCTAGGTGTAACTACTTTTGGAACTAGAACCCTTAGGGAAGCACATAAGTGCCAATGAGGTCACAGGAAGGCCCTCAGCAGAGAGGACAGATGTGTCCCCACAAGACAGCAGCACTCTGTGCACATAGAGAAAAGGTATAGAAGGCCAGCTGCAAAACTGGGAGGAGAGGGGACAACAGAAGCTCGCCCTGCTGACCCACTGACCTTGGACGTCCAGCCTGGACTACGGTTAAAGCTGCCCACCCAGCATCTTCCTACAGCAAGCAGCCTGAAGGACCAACCCCACCGCCAAAGAGTCTGACCCCTTCTCTGCTTCTCAAAGCCCAGATCAGCCCTGAGCCAACCGCAGTAGGAGAGAACCCTTCACCCACTCTCAGGCCCTTCTCCAGCCCAGGCTCTCCGTCCCTGGGACCTTCCCGCCCTCTCACCCCAGCACCAGTAGGATTGCTCTGTGGGCTCTCCACATGTGGCTCTTTGCCCACAGACCCTACACGCCACACTGAGCTTCATGACAGCAGAGCTGGCTCCAGACAGTTACCCCGCCAGCAAGGTAATGGCAGACTCAATCAACTGTCCTAAAAACAATGATATCAGGGCAAGGAAAGCCCAGATCCTGGGGTAAGGCTGCCTGGGTTCGAATCCTGCCTCTGATTCTTACTCTCTGTGTGGCCTGGAGCAAATTACCCCACCTTCCGCTTTCCATTTCTTCATCTGTAAAATGAGGGCAAGAATAGTGCCCACCCCATCAGGCTGTTGTGAGGTATATACTGACTGTACAAAAAAACATTTGCTCTCTCACTACGGACATCTGGCAGGCAGTGGTGACAGCACCAAATACTGCACAAGCGTGACAGCTACAGCCTCTCTTTTGAAGTGTTACTGTGGTCCACTCCGAACTCCATACACAAGGTAAGCCGCGGGCCTCCCATCTAGTAAGTGGCAATGAGAGACAGCACTGTATTAGCGCAGAGGCGGCAGGGCGTGTAGGAGTTGGGAACGGCCAGCAGAGGGCGCGCCTGCGCGGGAAGGAGGAAACCACTTACCCCGAGGATGCCCTGCTGCTGCAGCATGGCGCGCACGTTCCCGGCCAATCTGTCCTCCAGGTTCTGGATGGAGTTGACCAGCTCCTGGTTGAGGTTGCTGAGGAAGGCCTCGTGGTTGTAGAGCTCCTGGAGCGTGGCCCGCTGGTTTCGAAGCATCAACTAGGGAAGCAGGGTAAGGGCAGGGAGGAAAGTGCTGTTGTCAGTGTGCCCAAACCTGCCGGGGCCTGTGGACCCTCCCGCCCCCTGCGGCCACCGGTAGTAGATGCTGCCGGTTGTAGGTCAGAGCGCCTGGAAGTGGAGACTGCTTATCCTTTCACCCACTGGGCTCCACACACGCCTCCCTCCCCACCCCACTGTCACATCTCTAAGATGAGAATGCATCCTACAGTCGGTGGCTTATCACCTTCTAATTAGCAAACATGCAGTAGGTAAGGATATGCCCTATTACCAAAGACCTCTTCGAATCAATGAAAACTACAAAGAAGGTACATGATAACGACCCAACTAGGTAAGAAGGTGGCAGAGGCGATGGGGAAGGATGGAGGAGAGAACACCGACCTTTTCTTATCACACGATACCCCCGTGGAAAGGGAGTCTGGAGGAGTAAGTGATTTGCCTACGGTATGGAAGATCAGTAATGTTAATAGTTGACTGCACGTGAGGGCGGGCAGGTGCTGTGACTTGCTCTACAGATGACACATGGAACCATCCTCCAGCTCAGAGGCTGGATAACGCTGTCCCACAGCCCAGAGGTGACAGTGCTGAGACTGGGAAGCCAGACTTCGGAGTCTCCATGTCTGCCTTTCCATTATCCTTCCTCAAGAAAGACCTCAGTGGGATTCGTGCCGCAAGAAGCCCAGGCAGGGTGGCACAGGCATGGCACAGCAGCACAGGCTGAGGCAGGAGGATCACCTGGCCAGTCAGGCCGGTGCAAGGAACACAGAAACACCCTGTCTCAAAAAAGAGAAGCGGTCAGGAGAGGCTGGCCTAGGGCGTGAGTAGGACTGGGCTCTCCCACGTCTGCCGCCGGGGAACCCAGAAAAGTTAATTAACCTCAAATAACTCGCTGGTGTTCATTCTAAGCAACTGATAGCTAATTACTGCCTCAGAGAAGTGCCACTTAGAAATGAGATAAAATCTTCATCACAGCCACTGGGGCGATGGCGGCAAGCTCAGCCCGTGCACAAGCAGCAGCCCTGGCCTTCAGCTCCTGTGTTCTGTACCTGACAGCAATGTCAATGCGGGCGCACTGCGGCTGCCCCGGGCCCGCACTGTGTCCTGCGCTCGCATTACCTCATAGCAGGCCTGGGAGACATGAACTATTATTATTCTCACTTTACAGAAGTTCAGATTCCACAGCGGACCCAAGAACGCGTGTAACAGAACTATTGATGGTGGTAATTAGCCACTCCGGTTTTTGCCTCCAAATCTCCAGACCCCCAAAATCCAGAAATACCTTGGTTTGGGGTTTTTTGTTTTTGTTTTTGTTTTTTAAATCCACTCTCAAGTCCCTGGCAACATGGAACCTAAATACACATTGACACACACACACACACACACACACACACACACACACACACACACACACTCACACACTCACACACACACTCCTAGGGACTGTGAGAAATAGGATTTTCTGACCTCTGCTCTAGAAACTGATTTGTCTAAGCACAGATCTAACGTGGGACGGTGCTGTCTCCTGCGTGACCTTGACCTCAATATGTAATCACGGAACTACAATGTGTAGCTGTGTCTCCTTTCCCATCCTGCTCTCGTCCAGGACTCCCCTCCCACGCTAGGCCCTTCCTTATCGTTCTTGCTGGTCTCCTTCCAGGAGCAAGTCTCAGCCAGAGGGCAGGCTGTGCCTGCTGTGCCTGCTCTGCCGTGGCAGTATCACCGGCCCAAGGACAGCCGATGCAGCTCCGAGCAGACGCCAGATCAGCTAAGAGGGTGGCTCTTCCATGGCGGGCGCCACTCGCTGCTGGGTGTCTCAGGGGACCGGTGACACCTGTCCGAGGCTGCATCTCCAACACCCAGCACAGCGTTCCTCACCCTGCACTCTCTAACAAGTCGTGAACATTCCTCCCCCAGGTATCTAACACAACTCCTTCCTCCCCCACCAGCCTATAGAAAACAGCCTCCCAGCTTTCTCCCGGTCCCCTCGGCCTCCACCCTTGGTCTCACTTTCCGTTTGCCTGTATTATCACTGCATTCCTTCATTATTGCCACTCGTCTTTGCTTTTTGAGACAGGTTCTCATTCTGCAGTCTAAGCCAGCCCTGAACCCACTGTCCTCCTGCCTCCCAAATGCTGTCCTCTGGTTTATCACTTCACATTTTATACACATGTTTAATTACCTGTCTCCCTAAAGCCCTGGTGAATGTCCACGCTCGCTCGGAGCAGGGCCTGGCACACAGCAGGGGCCCCGTCAGGGCCTGCTGACTGACTCAGCACTCAGCAGACAGCATGAAGAGCTGCGAGGGGCACTGTTTACTGCAACAATGTCAGCGCCCACACTGTGTATCAAACAAAACCACAGAAACTCTCCTGCAGTCAGGATGGAAAAGCTCGTCAGAGGCAGGTCTTCCTGGAGTGAGTGACACACGCAGCCATCTGGCAAAATGATGGCTGAAGGGAAAAGCAGGCTCAAAGCAAAGATGTTTTCCCTTCTTATTTTCTTCCTGTGTTTTTAATTTTTGAGACAGATTATCACCATTAAACCCTTACTGGCCTGGAACTACCATGGTCAAGGTCACCCTCTACTACACAGTGAGACCAGTTTTGTCTTGTTTTGTTTGAAGCTTTAAAATATGGTCCAGGGGATTACAGAAGCCATAAAACAATGTAGAACAAGGCTGGGCATGGTGGCACACACCTGTACCACAGCACCCTGGGAGGTGGACGAAGGAGGTTTGTGAGTTCAAGGCCAGCCTGGATTACCTCAGAAAGGGGGTGGTGGAAAACATGATGAGAAAACTTGTTAGCTGCAATGGTATCAGCTGATGTGAAAGGTTTGGTGGCATGCCTGCCAATCACCACTCCCAAATGGGCAGTGTACTGGCCAGCACGGAGACAAGCCACAGGATTACACTTCTAATACAGAGAACTAAGGAAAGTCTAATTCCTTCTGCCTAAACACAGTCCAACCTTAACTGTTTTGGGCCCCCATGCCACTGTTTCTGGATGTGTGACCTGGTGCAAGTCATTCCTTTCCCCACCTGCAGAATAAGGATGGTAAGTGTGCCATGGCCTTGCTATGTGGAGGAGACTGGTGCTGCCTCATCAGAGCTGCACGCCAGCTCCTGCCCTGAGCCTCTCTTACCCTCATCAGCCGCACTTTGCTATGCGTCTTCCCATGGTGCACTTGCTCTCTCCTTCGAAGTCCCTGTATAGTCTTTGCTGGGTTTGGCATCTCTGCAGAACTCTGGGACTGCACTGCTGGAGACAGGTAGGGAAAGGGAGACAGAGGGTGAGGGTGGACACAGGCCTGGGGCCAGGTCCCAGAGAGTGCAATCGGCTGGGCCCAGCCCCTAGTCCCACTCATTTACGGGCTTACCATGTGACACAAAGAACCTGCTGCCCACAAAGAAGCCCTCAGCCCCAACGGGGCCTTGTTACAGGGGGGCCAGCACAGAATGCAGTAACATGAGGATGACAGAGGGATGCTGAGCAAGGGCAGATAGCCAGGCACAGGACCCCTCCCCGAGACAGGAGACTTCAGCTTCCCTTCGAGGTTCAGTGTAGTCCCTGGGAGGTGAACTCGATGGAAACACTAAGGCAAACCAGGGTGACCCTACTATCAACCAGAAAAGGGGTCAGGAACCACTGCTGCCATCATCCCTACCGCAGCCAGGCACGGTGGTACATGCCTTTAATCCCACTCGGCTGAGACAGGAGGATATCTCTGAGCTCAAGGCCAGCTAGGACTAAGTAGAAAGACTGTGTCTCAGAAAATAAAATAAAATAAAATAAAATAAAATAAAATAAAATAAAATAAAATAAAATAAAATAAAATAAAAGAAATGAAATGAAATGAAATGAAATGAAATGAAATGAAATGAAATGAAATGAAATGAAATAAAAAATAACCCCCATCCGTGTTCTTCTGGCTCCTGATACAGCTAAGGGCAGCAACTGAGGGACAGCCTGTCAGACAAACACAAATCCTCACTCCCCACTCCTGGCAGGTAGAAAGGTGAGGTGAGGCGGGAAAGGCTTTCTGGTAGCTCTGTCACCAGAAGGCCATGTGGTCTCCTGTCCCTCAGCGCCTCCCCTAAGGTCCGAACAGCCATGCCCATCTCCTCAGTGGGTCGTGAAGGCTGGGTGAGAAGTCACTGTGCCCCTAAGATGTTCAACATAGTAGCTGCCACACCTTCCGGGCTGGCTGTGCGCTCTTAGTCACTGTTATGTCCAGTGACCACAGCGGCCTCGCAGAACCCCGGCCGGTCAATCCTGTGAGTGCTGGGTGACAGTGAAGGCTCTGAGAGAGCGGGTGCTTAGAACCCTGCTGGGCATAAAGCTCAGCTGGTTCGGTACTGGCCTAGCATGTACAGAACCCTGACGTGAATCCTTACTACTGCCCAATGTGATCATAGCAGTCTCGGGGGCTCACGAGGTAGAGGCTGGAAGAGCAACAAATGAGGACAGCTTGGGCTGCAAGGCGAGGGAGGGAGGTGGCGACAGAGAAACCGTGCCTTCTATCAGACAGTTCTGAACCAACCTGCAACCACCGCTCGGCTGCTTGTCTCTAGCCTCAGACAATTATTATACTATGCTAAGTATGTAACAGGTGAAGATCCTTTATCTGGGAAATTGTAGTATTAAGTACCAGGATTATAAGTGACTCTTTTTTATTTATTTTTATCTTATGTGCACTGGTGTTCTGCCTGCATGTATGTCCCTATGAGGGTGTCAGATCTTGGAGTTACAGACAGTTGTGTGCCATGTGGGTGCTGGGAATTGAACCCAGGTCCTCTGGAAGAGCAGTCAGTGTACCTAACCACTGAGCCATCTCTCCAGCCCCCCAATAAGTTACTCTTATTACATATATGCTAACTACTAGGAATGGTTTTGTTTGTTTGTTTGTTAGATTTTTGAGACAGAGTCTCAAGTAGCCCAGGCTGGTCCTGGACGAACTATATAGCCATATAATCCTCCTGCCTCTGCCTCTCAAGTGCTGAGATCACAGGCATGTGTTAAACTAAACTACTGGTATTTCAGAAGAATGCAAGATTACTCACATGTTCAAGTCTGGTGTCAGACATACAGAATTATTATCCTTTTTTGTTTGTACTTAGATTTTTTTTTCATGTGCATGAGTGTTTGCCTGTGTGGGGCCAGATGTATGTACAGAAGCATGTGTGAGCACGCATGTGGATTCAGGGGTTGGCATCAAGAGTCATCCTCATTAGCGCTCCACCTTCTCACACTGAGGCAACCTCTCACCTGAACCCAGAGCTCAGTCCAGCCAGTCTAGCCAGCTGCAGAGACAGGCAGACTGTTGGGGCTTGCTGGTTTCCTGCCTAGTTTTTTTAAAAAGGCACCTTTAATCCCAGCACTTGGGGAGGCAGAGGCAGACAGATCACTGTGAATTTGAGGCCAGCCTGGTCTACAGAGCAAGTCCAGGAAAGCCAAGGCTACACACAGAAACCCTGTCTCAAAACACCAAAAACAAAGAAAACTTGATCCCCAGGTTCAAGGAGAGGCCCTGCTTTAGAGAAGTAGGTGGAGTGTGATAGAGGACACTCAACACCATCTTCTGGCCTCCATGCTTTCATACAGGTGTGTGTATCTGCCCACACACAAAGTTATTAATAATCCTTTTTGAGAGTGCGGAGTCGTAGAGAAGTGTCACATGTATTTCACCTGAGACAGCCAACATCATCTCAGAGTGCTACGTCCTTCCGTGACCCACCAGCAATTTTCGAGTGATCCGGTTTCTCTTTACCGGGCACAGGATGTTGTATGACTTTTCCTAGGGGGCCAGGAACAAACATCCTTTCATCCCACGCAGGGCACTTACGACAAACCAAAGGAATGATTCCACCCAAGTCTATCTTAGGGAACCAGTGAGTTCCCTGGAGCCAGAGGATGGGGTTACAGAGGTGTAGGTAACTCAAAGGCCCCCATAGCATGAGTCACAATTCATGAAAGCTGCATACCACAGCATGTCTGGATCGAGGACAGGGGGTGACTTTCTGAAGGGGGTCCTCTCCTCCCGCTGTGTGGGGCCTTGCGGTTGGACTCAGGTCATCAGGCTTTCGGGAAAACACCCTACTAGGTGGAGCCATCTTGCTGGTCCCCCGAAAGTTTTACCCTAGGGTGGACTCTGGCCATACCTATTGTCCTTCCCTGGGTTGAGCTGCTGGTGTAACATCTAACAAATTCCACTTAGTTGTAGGCCCCAAAGATTTTTCTGTTCTGCCTTTTTCTAAAAGTTGTACAAATTTTTATTTCATTCTCTCTCTTTCTCTCTGTTTTTTGAGGCAAGGTTTCTCTGTGTAGCCTTAGCTCTCCTGGACTTGCTTTATAGACCAGGCTGGCCTCAAACTCACAGCCATCAGCCTGTATCTGCCTCCCTGAGTGCTAGAATTAAAGGAGTGCACCACCATGCCCAGTTCATTTTCTCTCATTTTATGCTTTTGTTTTCAGTTAAGTTTTTATTCGTTTTCACTATTTGGATATGCGAGTGCCTGATTGCCTGTCTGTTTACCACACATATGCCATATACCAGGAGGCTAGAAGGTAGTGTCATATCCCCAGGAGCTGAAGTTACAAGCGGTTGTGAGGTGAATGTTGTGGGTTCTGGGAACCAGAGCTGTGTCTTCCTGAAGAGCAACAAATGTATTTAACCACTGAGCCATCTCTCCAGCCTCTCTCTCTTTGCTTTATATTTTAAGACTGAGTCTTGCTAAGTTTCCCTGGAAAGCCTTTAACTGACTGGCCTCCTGAAAACTCTTGAGTAGTTAGGATTATAGGCCTGTGCCACCAAGCCTAGCTTGGCCAACTGCCTTTGTGTGTGTGTGTGTGTGTGTGTGTGTGTGTGTGTATGTGTGTGTGAGATAATTTTCATCTACTCTGAGAAATGCATACATATATAATGTGTTTTATCATAATCATTCCCTCCTCCTCCACCCAACTGCTCCACTATAGCCCCCATGTCCTCCTCCCAACCTCAAGTCTTTATAGCTGAATCCAGTTACTCCTGCCCGTGTATAGATGAGTGTGGAACCATCCACTGAGGCACTGGAACCCGCCATGCAGGCAAAACAACAATACACATGGAGAGAGAGAGACAGAGGAGGTTTGGGACGTAGCTCAGTGGTTACAGACCTGTGTCACCATGCCCATTTTTACATGGTGACCTGAACTCAGATCCTAATGCTTCCATAGCCAGCACTTTGCTCACTCATAACCCCCTCCCCAGCACCTCTTCAAATACGGAATGTTCCAAAATATCTGTTATTTAGTCTAAACTTGGTGTCAGAGGCAGGAGGATTTCTGTGAGTTTGAGGCCAGCGTGTTCTACATAGTGAAACCTTCCTTGTCTCAAATAACTTTACAAATAAAAAATATACATTATAATATATATACACAAATATACATTTTTTTCAAAGAGGTGTTCAGGGAAAAGAAGGTGCAATATGGCTTTCCTGTGGAGGTGTGAACGTTTAGATGGTGTCTCAAACAGTAGAGCAGATACACACTGGAGCCAGTGTTTGCTGGGTTACTTGAAGGAGGGAGAATTAAGGGTTACGTACAGGAGCACAGCTAGCACAGATGGCCCATAGGCAGCTGCATCCCCAAAGCCCACCCAAGCTGGGGGAAACGTGAAAACTGTGTTCCTGGAGAGCTTTGTTTGCAAGCAGTTCTGCCCTATCTCTTTGGGCAGCTGTAATTATTCATAAATACCAGAGGAGGAGCCCTGCGACTCTTGTTTAAGGAATTTCCTGAGCCTTGTAAGTTTCCTTTGCTTCCTGAGCCTTATAAGTTTCCTTTTCTTCTCCCTCCAGGGGTGGGAGGAGGTGTTTCTATTAAGAGGAAAGAGCTACACAACACAGAGTCTATGAAGCTGGGGCTGCCTTTGAACTCACTGCCTCAGCCTCCTGGATGCTGGAAGGATCCCCCGAGCATACTCCCTTGCCTAGCACATAACAATACTTTTTTCCCCAATTAAGATGACCAAAGTTCAGAAAGATGAAAGACTTCCAAATGAGTGAAAAGCACTGCCAAGCTGCCAAACCCACATTTGCCTGAGCCAAGACCTCAGAATTCCCCTGGAAGGGTTAACACTGATGTGATAGAGATGCTTCTATTAATTCCCCAGACTATGTCCTCCCCTCTTGAGGCTAGAGCCAGACAGTTCTTAGTCAGGCATGGTCATGTGGTGGGAGTTACAGCCCCTGGAAGGAATACAAATGGTATGTGTCACTTCAGGTCTGGGTCCCTTGTTCTTGCTTTCCTGTCCCTCTCTGCCAGCACAGGTCCTCAAGGACTATCAAACCTTAGATCCATGGGGTTAAAGGAGCCTAGCCCCTTGAATCACTGTATGGACAGGACCAGCCCCACACACTTACAAATGCATTCCTGAGAAATGAACTTTCATATCTAAGTTTTCATGCCTACCTGAAAACTGAAAGCTATTTGTCCCGTTAGTTAGCTGCTGTAATATGAATGGTGTGTGGGTGACCAAAAGCTGCCACGCTAGCTTGTCCCCAACACCCACAAGCTCCCAAGAGCCTCTGCCCACCTGATTGAACTTTAGTCCCACTCTTCATTGTGCTTTTGTTGTTGCCTTTGGCTTGTTGGAGGGGAGGCAGCTTCAAGTTCTCTGACCACTGTTAGGAAACACAACGCCACCGTTCGAAACACAGTGAGTCACAGGGTCAGTGGGTTCAGCTCCAGATCACCCCTTTCCGTTTATCTCTATCCTAGAGCAAGCGACCTGAGCTCCAGGCTTTGACTCTCTCATCTGTAAAATAAACCTAATATCACATGCCAAGTCCTTGGGTTGGTGCAAGAATTCTGAGGAGTAAGGCCTTCAGTGGTTTCCAGAGCACCGACCAGAGCTTTTGTTTTGTGTTTACTAGGTAGCCAGAACCAAGGACACGTGAGGCGCTAAGACCCTGAAGAAACAGAAAGCAAGGCCCACCCTCTGGCCATGAGATCAGTGCGCAGTTCCAGTCACCCTTATGTTCTGGTCAGGTACACACTGCGGGGCGGGGCACTCGGCTTGGTTTTACCACCGCGGAAGTTGAGGGCAGGTGGAACACTGGGTCGCGGAGGGAGAGCCTCCCCGCAACCCCCCAAGCCGCCCTACTCTTACCAAACTCACCGATACTTGGAACTTGGACCCTGAGGAGCGATACCTAGAGTCGGGGAAAGAGTTGAGGGTGGGTGAGAGAACCTCCCATCATCCCCAGCCCAAGGAGGGATCCTGCAGCCTCGCTTTACCAGGCACACCAGGGAGCTGGCGCCTGGAGAGCGAACGCTGAGGCATGGAGCCCACACACGCCCTCCCCTCTCCCCAACGCCCATCCTCTCTCCTTACTTCTGAGCCATTGGGGAACAGATTCCCCCCCCCCCCCCGGGTCCAGGACGTTAGGCTTCTGCCACCTCTTCTCTCAAAATGGATCCCAAAGAAACCAGCCGCTTCCTCTAGCAGAGTCTGGTCTCCAAGGAAACGCAACTATGGAACACAGAGGGAGACTAACCTAGCCAGGCAAAACTGTGGCTGTGGTGGCCCCATAGAGTTCACACACTGGTTTCAGATGTCTTTCCTTTTACCAATATCCACTTTCATCAGACCTCCATCACTTCCTTCTGCGTCCTCATTCCTGACTGTGCTTCCTATTTCATCGAGAATATCGTGCAGTTTAGGAAACAACACGTTCATCTCACTGAGCACTGAACACACACACACTCGTGTCCTACATCCAAGGATTAATCGCCACCTGAGACCAGTTCCTACATTTCCACTCCAAATCCTATATGCTCCCATTCTCTTAAAGATATCTGACCAGCCCGAAATCAAGCCAGCCCACTCTCCAGCATGGATGGGAGAGAGGATCCGGGAGGAGTTGGGGGTGGGGGGTGGGGAGAGATTGGGAGGTACATATAATCACAGTTCGTCATAAGCATGTGTGAAACTGGCAAAGGATAAATTTGAGGGGAGAGGAAACCTAGGCTTTATTTATATTTTATCTATCTATCCATCCATCCATCCATCTAGACTGGTTCTTACCATGTAACTCAGCCTGACCTAGAACTCACAGAGACCTTCTGCCTTGCTATTATTACAGGCTGTGATCCAACTAATCCAACAATGGCTAGCTATGTACAATACTAGGGCAAAGCTACTAACTTTTTCCACCCTCTAAAAATCATAGGTGCCAGCAGGGCATGGTGGCACTCACCTGTAACCCCAGCACTCTGTAGATGGAGGCAGAAGGATCAAGGAGATCAATCGTCTTTATTTACAGAGCTGGGCTATAGGAACCACATGAGCCCCAGTCTCAAAAGGGGGGTAGGGGCTGGAGAGATAGCTCAGAGGTTAAGAGTACTGGCTGATCCTCCAGAGGCCCTGAGTTCAATTCTCAGCAACCACACGGTGGCTCACAACCATCTCTAATGGGGTCTGATGCTCTCTTCTGTCATGCGGGCATACATGCAAATGGACTAATTAATTATCTGAGAGAGAGAGAAAGTTTTAAATGGGGTGTCCTGGATAGTGAGGCATGCCTCACTGCCGAGGATCCCCATTTATAAAGCTCATTGTACCTCAGCAACCCACCAGTAAAAAAGTTAGTCACTAATAAGCCAGGCAAGAGGCTGGTGCAGTCCTCAGCCGGTAAAGGTGCTGGCCACCAAGCCTGATGACCCGAGTTTATCCCAGGGCTCACAGGCAGAATGAGAAAGTCAACTCCCAGAAGTTGTCCTCTGACCATCACATATGTGAAGTGGTGCACACATAGTCTGGCCAAGAAGAAAAGGTATTTTCAGAGTTGGGGAGAAAGCGGTAAACACTTTTTAAAAAAAATATATTGTAAATCAAGCACAGTCATGCATACCTTAAAGAAAGAAAGGGGAGGAAGGAAGGGAAAAAAAAAGAAAGAAAGGGAAGGAAGGAAGAAAGAAAGGAAAGGAAGGAAGGAAGGAAGGAAGGAAGGAAGGAAAGGAAGGAAGGAAGGAAGGAAGGAAGGAAGGAAGGAAGGAAAGACAAGAAGAGAGCTGAGGCAACAAGCTAGAGAGATGGCTCCAGGCCTCTTGCAGAGGACTTGGGTTTGCTCCCCAGCATTCTTCACACAGTGGCTGACGACCATCTGCACTTCTAGAATTCCTGACCCTGGGGATCCAACAACCCTCCCCTGACCTCTGCAAGTATGAGGCATGCACACGGCGCATACACGCGCATTCACACACAGACAAAGCACCTATATACATAAAATAAAAACAAACTTTAAAAAAGAAAGCTGAGGCAGGAGAATGGAGTTTCAGGCCAGCCTCAAAAAAATTAAAAAATAAATAAATAAATCAAAATAAATAGTCAGGCATGGTGAGTATGCCTATAATCCCAGAACACAGGAAGCAGACAAAGGAGGAATAGGAGTTCAAGATCACCCTAAGCTATATAGTGAGTCTGAGGTCACCCTAGTTTCCATGGGACTCTGTATCAGAAAAAAAAAAAAATTATTAATACATTTTAAAAGCCACTGCAGGGGCTGGAAAGATGGCTCAGGTTAAGAACACTGACTCCTCTCCACAGGTCCTGAGTTCAATTCCCAGCAACTACGTGGTGTCTCCCAATCCCTCTATACTTCTGGTGTGCAGGCACACAACTGTATACAATAAATCCTAAAAGCCACTGCAGAGGGCTGGAGGAAGAACATCACAAAAATGAGAAAAACAAAACTGCAGAACATTTTTGTGTTGTGGAGCACAGAGGAAGTCCCAAGTGAATGTGTTGACATGAGCCCGGCCATGTCAAAGCCCCAGTCATTAAACCCATGGTGGCAAAGCCTTCCTCCAGTAAGGCTCAGTGAACTGGCAAAGTCCTCTGCTGGTGTCGGTCCTCCAGGATATTTACAGCCTGAGGCTGTTCCCCAGGAGACAGGAGACGTCTTTCTGTAACTAACCATGCCCTGCTCTCTGCTATGCAAAATAAATAATTGGAGTCTCCCAAGCGGTAGTAGGTGCCTTCCACTGGCGTGAGCACAGCCCACCTGATCCCAGCTTTGCTTTTAACTTTTGTTTTGTTTCTTGAAACAGGTTTCTCTGTGTAGTCCCGGCTGTGCTGTAACTAGCTGGATAGTCCAGGCTGGCCTCAAACTCAGAGGTCTGCCTCACCTGCCTTTGCCTCCCTTGTGCTGGAATTAAAAGCAAGACTGGCCACCACCTTAGGATCCCAGTTTTTCTATACGAGGGTGGTTAATCTCAATTGTCAATTTAATGAGCTCTAGGATAACCCAAGAGACTGGCCTCAGGGCACGTCTGTGGGAAAGTATCTTGAGTAGGGTAATTGAGGAAGCCCCGCCCAGTTTGACTGGCCTGGGGCACACCTGTGGGAAAGTGTCTTGAATAGGGTAATTGAGGGAGCCGTGCCTAGCTCGCCTAGCTCGATCCCACTCTCCCCTGGCGGGGATCCTGAACTGTTAGAAGGGAGAAAGTGACCTGGGCCCAAGCACCCCCTGGTTCTGACTGTGCTTGCCGCGAGACCAGCGGCTTCAAGGCCTTGCTGCCGTGACTTCCTCACCACGATGGCTGTATCTTGAGCTATAAACCAAAATGAACCCGTCCTGGAGTACAGTCCTGGAGCTGGAGAGATGGCTCAGTGGTTAAGAGCACTGGCTGTTCTCCCAGAGGACTTGGGTTGGATTCCCAGCAACCAATAAGATACCTCATAACCACCTGTACCTGCGGTTCCGGGGAATCTGATGCCCTCTTCTTGCCTCCATGACCACCTGCATACATGTGGCTCACATACATGCCCTCGGGCACATACACATAGAGTAAATTTTAAAAGCTTAAGGAAAAAGCTGGGCAATGATGGTGGCAGCTTTAATCCCAGCACTTGGGAGGGAGAGGCAGGTGGATCATTGTGAGTTCGAGGCCAGCTGGGTCTACAGGGGGAGTTCCAGGACAGCCAGGGCTACACAAAGAAACCCTGCCTGGAAAAACTTAAGCTGAACTATACGAGTCTACCTGTTAACTCGGCTAAGCGACTGGGCTGCTTTCTCGTCTATAAAATGGTATAGTTCCAGCATTGGTCTTATAGAGACGAGTCTACGGGATAGAGCCTACACTGTGCTTAGTACACTGTGGGGCACTTGAAGAGCATGTGATAGAGGGTTCTTGTCCGAGTGAGCAGAGTTCATGTGTGGTTTCACATTTATGATTGTGCATGGGCCCGTGTGGGCTTGCCCGGCCTGTAAGTGTGGCAGTCGGGAGACAGTTTTGTGGATTTCTTTCCAGGGATCCAACTCAGGCCTCCAGGCTTGTGCTGCAAGCACCTTGACCTCTGAGCGTCCCACAGGCCTGCTGCTTCCTTTCCAAGCCTAGTGTGCCTTTGTGTGTGCTTGTCTTGACACCTCTAAGGAGGCCAGACAAGTGCAGGTGGGTCAGTGCTTTCCTTCCACCACGCATGTCCGACAGATGGAACCCAGGGCACGTGTGGACCGAGAGCAACCTTACTCCCCTCAGCCATCCTGTCCTCCCGTTTTGTGACAAGGTCTCATTGTGTTCCCACAGCTGGCCTGGCCTAGCTCCCCCTCGGTAGATCTGGCTGAACTTGTCTCTACCTCCCAGAATAGACATGTGCTACCATGCCTAGCCCCTACAGGTTTTGAAAAATATAAGTAATGTACTATACTTGTAAATGGACCAAAATAAAATAAAACACCAGCGAAAGAATACAAGTGTTGTAGAAATTAAATATGGACACACACACAATACTTAAAGCAGTGCTACTTAGCCCTGGGGCCCTGGAACTCAAGATTTGCCTCCACTCTACCTTTCGAGCGCTGGGATTAAAGGCATGGGCTACCATACCAACATATTTTTATTTTTAATTATGTGTGTATGTGTGTGTGCACAGATTCCATAAAAGCTAGAGTTGAAGTCAGTTGTAAGCCGCCTAACGCTGAGCCCTCTCTCCAGCCCTAACGGTAAAGTCTAAAATCGTTCAACTTCTCTGTATATTTGAAAGTGTTCATAACCTAAAATTGGTGGGGACAATGTACTGTGTTTGGGGGCCACCATTTCTCTTGCTTTTTAACAGTCTGGACACTGGAAAAGCTGAGCGCGACCACAGGGAACGCCTGGCAGGCTCTGAGCGGCGGGAGGCTCTGCTCCTGGGATGCAGGAGAGGCCTGCTTGCGAAACTCCGAACCCTCGACAGCGGAGGGCGGCGCGGCCACCCGCAGGGGGCGGCGGGCAGGGCAGGCCCGGCCTTCCCCGGCCAGCACCGACCCGAGCGCGGCAGGCTTCCGAGGGGCGGGAGCCGGAGCGTCGGGTTTCAGCGCGGGGGCGGGGAGCGGCGCGCGCACTCCGCGGCCTTCTCCCGGGCGGGCGGCGGGGCGGGCGCGCGCCGTGGGCAGCCCGGGCCGCGGGGGCGAGTGGAGGCTGCCGGGAAGGAGGTAACATGGCCACCGGCGGCGGAGCGGAGGAGGAGCCCCCGCGGGGCCGGCCGCCGCCGCCGCTGCCCGCGCGGCCCGGCGCCCGCGAGAGGCTGGGCTGGGCGCAGGTGGTGAGGAACCTGGCGGGGAAGAAGGGCG